AGACGGAAACCCCCTCTCCCCGCAGAGCTTATTTATAAATATTTATAATTCAATTAATTTATAATTCGCTTAAATCGCTCTAAAAAAGTTAGACAGACATTCAAATATATGTTACGTAGGATATTAGAAAAGGAGCTATCGTGTGAACGAGGCAGCAACATATTTTTTACGGCCCATTAGAAATTGTTTAATAATTTGTTAACAAAGGGTTGTTTCCATTTGAAATATTGTTGTTGCAAGGAGGATTTCCTTGCAACAACATCGAACAGCTTATTCTTCAAGTGTACCTCGTAGAGCTTCCCCATTACGGGTAGCAATGCGATAGGAAGGTAGTTCGCAGGGTCGGATAGAGATGAATCTTTTTTGGGGGTGCATATGATGATAGAGGTCTTCAAATCTTGTGGGAAATGCTGGGTATCAAGGCAATAGTTCTGGTTCCTCTGTTAAGTAGTGTGAAGTATTCTTCCTCTTGCATAAGAGCATCCTGAGGCGTTTCGGACGAATTGAGAAAGGCATGTTGGTACCAATTGTCTACTATATTTTTGTAATAAATAATACTATAATTGTATAATATTTTATAAATTTATTAACTCTACCAGTTTCGGCCTAGACCATCCTCAGGAGTCTCGTTGTATAAGGTTGAGGTTAGGAAATGCAATTTTCATCCATAATTTTTAAAATTCGCTATAAAATTAATTTCTTGAAGGATCCTTGTGGAAATATCACCAATTATTAATTAAAGTATCCTCTTTTTAATACAAAAAGCCGTTTTGAAAAATCACTTTTAGTTCTTGAGATATAAATTTTTGAAATAATCGACAATTTTTTAAAATTTTGCAATTTTCATCGATAACTTCATTCGACACAGAAAGAGAAATAAACTTTTTCCGTGAATCGCTATTGGACGACTTTAAACAGTTCGCTTTAAACATTTTATTAGAAAAATCGCTACATAGCATATTTGTAATTGTAAATAAATAAGGAAAATAAAATGCAATAGATTATTATTAAATCGTAATATTAATTTATTGTTAACTACTAAAAAATGACACTCCATAACTACAATTTGATCTTATGATTAAGAAGAGCACATATAAATATACATAACCGAGTATATTTATTTGCGCATGTTACTCATTTATTATGTATTTGCGATGTAAATGTTCAAATATAATTTATTCACAGTAGTTAAACCTAGAGACCAAAAACAGAAATCATTTCATATGTATTTAGTGGTATACTCTAAACTGGTAAAAAAATAACATCTGCCTTTAAAGGGATTTTTTTAAAACAATAACAACGTACGCGGTTTTCAAAAAAATTAATAGATTAGATTCCAATGTGGTTATTCGAAAATTGGGAGGAAAATATATATCTAGCGCATCTTTTTAAGTTATTCTTACACAGTGGTGATTGTAAAAGGATCGATACAACGTTGATATGAAAAATGTTTGACCCGAAAAATCTTTAAATTTATTAATATATTTATTTATTAATATTTAATTCACTCGTTTACGTTTACTTAACTAATTTATTTTTTTAACAAGAAATTGTGGGGCAGTGACTAACAATTCTAACCAATTTTTTATTTATTTTTTTAAATTGGTTCCTTCTTTGTAAGAAAACTTTTACAACACACTGTACGCATAAAAGATTTTGCAAAAGCAAAAATCATATATTATTTAAACTATTGCACTAAAAAAATATATGCTTATTCAAATTAAAAAAAATATTATACTAAAAATCTTGCAAAAAAGCTATGTATTTTCAACAATCTGATAATCATGCAGATCTTACACAAAATATTGTTAGTCGTTTATAGCCCAATTTTTAGTTTTTGTTATTTGTTTGACACAATTAATAATAGGTACACTTAGTGGTGTTTTTACATATTTAAACAGGGTTCCTCTATGTGTTCACAATATTAAAATGAATACAGCCCTCTGTGATTATAATGTTACAACATTTATACATTTTTAGATTATTCAAGTTTTACCTAAAGTGGCACAGTTTCATTTTATATGTAGTGATCTGTCTGGACGGAAGAATGTTTATGTTTATTTCCACCTTCAGAGTTATCTTGTGCTGTATTTCTCCACTTTAAGCAAAACCTCTTTGAATGACAAAAAATATACCGATGATTGTCCTCATTTTTAATAAATTTTAGAATTCATTTAGAAATTTCCATTGAAAACGTCGATGAGATGAAAACATTCAAAGTTTTTGCTCTTGAAATAGTTGAAAACGATTATTTTTAATTAAAAATCAAAGGGCTGCAAATATTTACATGAGAAAAAAAAAAATATTTTTTGTTTGAAACCCATGCTTAAATGATAAAAATTACAAACTAATAAATTATTTAACAAATAGAATTTGGTACAAAAAAATCAATTAATGGTGTTCTAAGTACTTGATCTTAAATATTACAAATTCTTTCTTTTCTTGTTATAATTTCATTTTACAAATTCGATATATAAAATTAATACTAAAACATGATTCTTAAATTTTGACCCAAAAAAAATTTATGCTTAATATAATAACAATATATTCATTTTACGAAGACTGTAAACACCTTTTTTTAACACAGATAATATCTATTATATTGTTAAATTCTCTCCAGCGAAACTTCTACCCCAATATTTCCTATCGTATTATTACTTAAACTAAAATTATATTATAAAAAAAAACTTGAAGAGAGGGTGCCGGGAAAAGGCTATGTGAAAGTAAGTAATAATTTGAGAAGAGACGCGGGATGCTGAAAACATTGAAAAATACAAAAAAAGGTGTTTAAAAAAAATAAATAAACTCCCGCTATTTGGTCATCGTTAAATAAATAATAATAATCAACTAAAATAACAATTCTAACAACAACTTAGTAAGCACTCTTTAGCACGCAACGCACGCAACTATGAACACTGAGGAAATTAAATGGCTGATTAAAATGAAGCAATTGAAAATATAGATATTGAGCGGCTGCATCCGTGTGCGTACAGCTTGCGTTATAATTCCATGTCTTCCGCTTCGTCTTCCGAAAAATCCGACATGCTAGACTCGCTATCCGAGCTCACATTTGTCTCCTGACCTCGCAATGCTTCTTCCGTGGCGTACTTTCTTACATATTCTAACAATCAAAGATAACAAAATTTAAATTAAAAAAAAAAGATTATTATTCTTAATAATATCTAAAATTCTACATCTTGACAACAAATTTATACTTGGGGTTTACATAATAACACCTTATTTTCAAGGTTATATGAAGGTCACGACCAATTTTTTAAATGGCACCCTAATATTTTATTTAAAAAAAATAAAAAAATTTTATTGTGTGGTTTTGCCAAAACATCTTTTGAAAAAAATTGAGCAAGAACAAATAAGATATATGAATTTTTAAACATTTTCCTACCCGCTTCGATACATTGTCTTTAGTTCTTAATTCTTAGAATACTATTTAAGAATGCTCAACAAAAAAAAATCCAGAAGAAGCACATCGGGTGACCTGGCTCGTCGGAAATACGTTTGGAAAGGTCTAAAAATCAAAAGTATTTATTTATAAGAAAACGCAGCGTTTTCCTACATTACAACATCACTCTGCAAAAACTCGTCAACAGAGTAGAACGCCTTTACAATTAGATACGACCTGAGCCAGTTATATAAAACCTGACTCATGTAATTTAATCCCCGCTGCCCTCTAGTCAATCTGCGATACTAAACAAATACAGGATGGTTCAGTTTTTAATCGGGAAACTTTAGTAAGATGTAGTACTTGACAAAATAACATGAGTTTTTTATATATACATAGGGTCGCAACTCTTTTGTTTTCGAGCTATGAGCTGTCAAAGTTGAACCAAAAATTTACATTTAACTTTTATTTAATACCTTTTTTTCAACCATACCTTAAAATTTCCCAGCGCCCTCTAAGGTGATGAAATTCACAACCGCTTTGATTTTTTTATAACAACTTTTTAACACCATGGAATATTAACATAAAAAAATATGGGTTGTAAAGCTTATTCATTATTGGTACTTTTTTGCCTCTTTAGTTTTTTCCTTAAAGATAATAGTTTTTGCAAAAAAAATCAAATATGCTACATTGTACTGTAAAGCGTTGCTATTATGAAAAAAAAATTTTTTCTTTATAGCTGGCTATGGAAGTTGTGCACTTACTAGGATCTAGTACTAACTGAATAACACCAATTAATTCTGATTTTCATAAGAAAAACCATAAATAAGACAAATCTCTATCTGAACAATATTAAAAAATTGAAAACAATCAAACATTATTAATAATCATCAACAATTATGAGGATTCACCGTAAATAAATCTTACAAGTTCTTCAGAGGCAACTTTTAGAATAATTTTAGCTAAACATGGCGGCCCCCATGAATAGGCATCTGACCAATACGTTTATGTGCATATATAATTGACTGAAGAACGTAAAGTGAAGGCAACGTCAGAATCTGAAACTTAATAAACAAAGATCTACAATCTTCAGCATAACCAAGATTACCCAGCACACGCACCGCCCTACGCTGAAGTCTAAAAGCATATTGACTTGCAGGGCTGTTCCCCCAAGCCAAAATAGCATAATTAATATGGCAGTGAATAAAGGCATAGTATGGCATCCACAATCTTAGATATCCTACACAAAAGGTAAACACCACTACAAATAATAATAATAATACTTGGTTCAAACACAGCTCATTGGCAATGCTCCAGAACAAGGTCAGATCTCTCTACAACCCGATCAAAATCAGGCCTCGTAACCAATATAGTACCGTCATCCGCGTAAACATTCCACATCATCACCCAAATACTGAGGAAAGTCATTAATGTAAAGCAGGAATAGAAGCGGGCCAAGTATGGATCCTTCAAACTGAGCTCACTCGATACCGCACCATGCAACGTTACTTGCACAGCGTCACTAGCGAAGTTATACACTTTAGATAGTTTTCTCAAGAGAACCCAAAAAAAATGATGACCCCTCTCAAAAGAATCCAAGGACATGTCAACAAACTTGACAACAACATCCGACGTGCACCTACCCTTTCGAAATCCGTATTGATTTGGGCAAAGCAACTTATTTCCCTCTATATAAGAAACCATTTTATTATACATTGCACGCTTAAACACCTTGGAAAAGCCTATAATTGGAGCAATCCGTAGTATTTCCCTTTTTATGCACGAGCATCACGTTAGCTATTTTCAATATATCAGGGAACTGAGAATCAGCAAATACTGAATTTAGAACTTTTGTCAACATGTCTACATTCCTCTTTATAAAATAAGTTGGGATGGAAAAAACATCACGTGTCCTACACTCTTCAATGAACAGAGCAGCTCACGTACCTTAATAGGACCAACTTCTAAAAAATGAGATTGCGCTACCATTTAATCCACACATTCACATATGAGAATGGGATCAAGCACATCACTTAGCAGCCCTTCAACGATATCATTGGGAGTATCAACGAAAAACCTATTCAGCACATTCGGATTAAAATTACTATTTAGATTGCTTTTATCGTTGACTCTATTTTCATTCAGCTTTATTTTTTGCAGTGTTTATAAAGCTGCTAGTTGCCTCCAGCTTAGTTTCAGCTAAAAAAAAACCCTAGTTTAAAAAGTGGGCTAAGACTACTGTATTTTATAAAAAAAACAAATTATTAAAAAAAATAATATGACAAGTCTATATAAAAGATTGTAATTAATCTTGTAATTAATAAAATTGTTAATAAACAAACTGGTGGCAGCGGTGGGAGTTATTACGACTTTTTTTCCCGTCGATGTTAATATTATCAGAAAATTGAACGACTTCCTCAAGATGATATTGTTTATTAACAATTTTATTAATTACAAGATTAATTACAATCTTTTATATAGACTTGTCATATTATTTTTTTTAATAATTTGTTTTTTTATAAAATACAGTAGTCACAGCCCACTTTTTAAACTAGGCTTTTTTTTTTAATATTTTGGTACACAACAATACTCACAATGATAATCTTTTTTGGCTTTTAACAGATTGGGGGAGCTATATTGAAGTGGGTGGGGAAATATTTGAACATTTATTATAAATTTTATACTTGTTGTTGATTAATAGTATAGTTTAATCATTTTTTTTTATAAATAAACAATAGTTAGAACCATTTGAATAAAAAAATTATTTAGATTTTGTCTACAAAAGATGTTTCGAAGTCGTATTGGCAAAACCACACGGTAATTTTTTTTATTATCTTACTTTTATCCATAGATTCAGATTTTGCAATCAAAAACATAGGGTGCCATTTAAAAAATTGGTCGTGACCTTCATGTGACCTTCAAAATAAGGTCAAGGTCAAAAAATGTAAATCCTGTATCGCTTAACTTCGTAAACATAAAAGAAGAGTTACGGCTGGACTCAGATCACTCACCAGTAATTATTACTCTAAAGAACAAAGTACAGGGTGGGCAAATTTGGGTGTTATTATAGGCTATCTCAGAAACTATAAGAGATACGAAAAAAGTAGGTCCATGTCCCGGTCTCTTTTTTCGAGACTAACTCAATACCGCATACACCAAACCTCTATCTTCTTTTGTTTTTAAATTATAGCGAAAAAATCAAATTTTCGTGATTTCAAAAAATGCTCATATTTCGTTTATTTTTGAAATTAGAGAAATGGGGTTGATACGTTCTTAAGACCAATTTTTAAGCTTAAAGTTCCAAAAACACAAACACCTCCAATTCAAAATAATAATGGAAATTGGGCTAAGAACAATCAAGAAAAAATTAATTTAACATCAGACAGTCCAGCAACTATGCTAAATAGAGTCCCTAACGTAATTCAAAGTGATCAGCATAGTAATATACCATGTGTAAGAATGAAAGACCTGTATTATGAAATACAAAAACTAAATATAATAAGGTATGTGGGAATTGTGCGGCAAAGGGCCACGACTTTAAGAACTGTGGGAATAGGGAGAGGTATGTGCAAACTACAAAAGTAGGGGAAAGGATGACAGACACGAAATGAGGGATAAAAACTGTGGGGAATACCAGATAGGGGCGGAGTTGGCGAAATGAAGTATTAATTATGAGGACATGGGGAGAGGGCAGAAATTGACTTTATCAAAAAACTAGACGGGGGAGGGGAGAACTCAGCGAAGAGCGAGGGGTTGAAAAAAATTATTATTATTATAAATTAAAAAATAATTAACCTGTTACTTTCTTCTTATATTCTTCAGGTTTATGAAGATACATAGCGGCCGCATCTCCGTTTAATGGATCTATGGGATTCGGGTATGTTAATAATTGCGGCAGAAACGATTCAAATATATTTGATAAATCTAGAAGGAAGAAATATTTAAAAAAAATTAAATTTGTTACGTAATCCTTTTCTTACCGTATAAGGCAGTCCATGCCTGGTTAATAACATCCAGACAAACTGTACCTGAGACCTCGTCTATATTCGGATGGTAAACCCTATTCATAAATCCTATGCTCGGGGATTTAAACGGGTAATGCTCTGGCAAGTGAACACGAACCTTCCAAACACCACCTTCGTACGGTGCTGAAATATTTAAAAATTTGTGGAAATCCATATCAATAAATTACATTCAACAAGCAGTGAGTCACAAGGAATTTAATTAATCATGCCTCTTTTGATTACAACCGTCTCAACATATCCGATAAATAAAATTAAAATATGATAAATGCAAAAAGTATTCAGGAGGAATGTTATATAAATTTTCCATAAATCGCGAGTATAAAAAAAATGAACGGAATATTTTTTGCATTCTTCATTAAAAACTTACTTCCACGAGGTCCATAAAATTTAACGCAAAAATCGTTCAATCCACTCATAATTGTAACTTCATGTTTGCTTTCAATACTGTTATTTCTAATTAAGGAAAATTTTTGCAACTAACAACGACTAATATACTTAATAAGACAACTAGGTTATGCAGTATTACGCACGGTACATCAATGATTGATTTAATATTAATGCGAATACATTAGGCGATTTAATAAATAAAACTAGACAATAAAACTAGATAATAGCCATAAAAGAGTGCTATCAAGCACATGTCCGAATTAAACATATCTAATAAACACCTAATTCCTCGAGTTAGCACAAGCTTTCAATAAGGTTTGGCTCCCTGAGTTTTTGCCAAAGATAAAAACTATAAATCTACCAGTTTTCTTCTTTTTTTTTTCGAATTTTGTAATTTTCGCCGATTAAGTTTTAAAAAGTCGTATAAAATCCACTTCTTGGAATATGAGTATAAAAATTTCCCAAAGTGTTAATAAAAGTGTCCTCTTTCCAATGA